ATCGCATATGCACAGCATCCTCTAACTTTAGGTTTGTCACATCTCTTAAGAGCCCTTAATCTTGTTAAAGTGAGCTATCTAAAAATTACTGCTGAACACTGAGGTGTACATTAAAGGGTCTGACAGGAACATTTCTTTCATCATATTTACAATTAAGACAATCTGCTGTCATTTTTGTTTGATGCCACAACTTCACTGCCACAAGCTGAACTGTGAGTGTCAGTTGGATTAGTGTGATCGTGTGAAACAGGGAACCACAAAATGCGAGCATTGAAGCTGTGCTGGAAAGTCAAAGAAACACGGCTAATAAGGCAATCAAAGCTACTTCAACATTTCCGGTATTCTGAATTTGAAACACACGCCAGGTGAAATCGATGCACAGTGACTGGATGGTGTTCTCTAAGGGCTGTAATCATGATTACATTGTGCAAAAAAATCTAATCTTCAGCCTAAATCAATAAAAGTCTTAAAGGCTTAGCTCAGAAATTCTGGAGCAAGGCTCTATGCAGTTATTAATGCTAATAGTTTTTTTGATCTGTAGGGGAAAGACTTAACAAAAATGAAATAACGGCTTGACATTGGTTCCCCCCCAAAATGCAAGTTCCACAGTTGCCTCACACAAATAAGGTTATTTAATTCATATTTATTTTTGACGACTTAAAAATTTGGAACTAAATTCATGTGTGGAGTGACATGAGCAGGTTGCTCTGCCACCTCCTGGTGGTGATCTTTCTAAGTTATTAAAACCGTTATTAAAAATATTGAAGTAAAATCTCCAGACATCAGCCAAGAAAAAAGACTTGGACTTGACTGAGACACTTTTTTGGCTTTACTGTTTTTGATATCAGGCCAGTGCATCCAGATTACACTAAATGTTCTTTAACTCAAAGTAGTCATTGTATTCATTTGAGTCTCTACCTTCTTCTTTAAAAAACAAAAAAAACAAAAACAAAACGCATGATCGTTGTGTACTGGACACTCACATGAAAGCTCTGTGGACAACTGAGATGTTGCCTTGTGATAGTTTATACCATCTGTCTTAGTCAGTCAAGATGCAAAGGAGTGTGTTGGTTCACAGCAAAAGAACTGCCCACAGTAGTGACTTTGTTCCCACGTTTTGGAATAAAGGGCCACTCAGTGGTTTTCGTTTGTTCCCGAATATCACAAATTGGAAGATCATTCACAGTTAATGTTAAGAGAGCCTGTCTGAGGTTGAGCAAACGTGTGAGATTTGAGCATGCCAAGGTTGCAGATTGAGCCACCATTGCTCTCTCAGACTGATTGAAAGTCTGTGAGAGGTAAGTGTACACACCAAAGGCTATTGCTTGCCCAGAATTGAATGATCAAACACTTTTGTCTCACTGAGTTCTCGACAAGGTAGAGCAAATAATTACACAGTATGAGTGAGACGTTTGTGTAACCCGTAGCACACCTTATTGTTTAAAATAGCACTTCTAAATTAAGCTGAGTATTTCAAGACATCTATTTGCAGGAATAACCAGACCAATATTTGTGCCTGTAAAGTTATCTTTTTCAGAAATTGCAAATAGAAGGACGTGACATTGAGCCTGATCTCAATCCAAACCAAATCTGGGTATTTTTAGTGTTTTAAAGAGGCAGCTGAGGCTGAGCAGATGGATTAGCAATTCGAAGGTTTACTATCGGAGTAGATTTTAGTTGCTTATTAAAGAGATTGGTTACTCTGAATATTATTCATCTCATTGCATTTCATTGATTTTTTTATTTTTGCTGTCACACAAAAACCTTGCATCTCCAAAAATTAAAATTTTCAGAAGATGGGGAAAAAAAAAATTTTTTTCTTCAAAATGTTAATCCTGTTAAAAGTATTAATACTTTTCGGTGAAGCCATGGCCAGATGTGAAGCATGATCAATACGGAGAGGAGAGGTTTTTCCCTGTCAGTGGTGATTTATAAAATGTGTTACATGGTATATCATAACTGAGCTTTCTGCAGACAATTTTGTCTCGAATAAAGGTGAAAAATAGCTGACAGTGAAACTGCTCGGGTATGTTCAGCTTGTGTCTGCCGATGCCAAATAACTGGAAATAAAATATGAGTGAACTGCGGGTGAAGGAGATCCGTCACTGTTATTAAAAACAAAAACATTTAGTATTTACTCTGAATGCTGTCATCCTCCCACACGCATACACCTGACAATCTGGGAAGGGAAAAAAAAAAAAAAAAAAAAGGCCTCACACCCACACACGATGCAAAAATGATCAAACTTGTTCAAGGATTTTTGATCCACATGAAAACAGTTTTATTACTAAAGTTAATTGAAGCTTTATTGACAGAAGAAAATTAATCTGAACAATTTACTTCGGCTTAAGCAACAAATGCACAATGGGCTAGATGAAGAAATATGATTTAAGGGAATTAAAATGTTCATAAACAGCGGAGACTTGTCATGGGTTTTGCTCCAAGATTGTTTTCATTTTAGTGGCATTTTAAAGTACCATTTTCAGAACAGATTTTCTGTGTAGATTTCATATCATATTCTAATTATTCCATGCAAAAGTAATGCACTGGGAATATCCAACAGCTTTCTACTTTAGTTCTGTTATCTTAAGTAAACCATTAATGGACAGTTTGTTTTTGTTTTTTTTTGTTTTTTACTTTGTACTTGTACCTCTGCCATGCAAACTGTTCTTTGTCCCTCTAATGGCTGAAAAATATAAATATCTAATTTACAGTACTTGGTGTTAACTATTATATAAGATAGAACTCTAAAGAAACAGCTTATTAATGAGGTTAATGAGGTTTGTTTTTCAGTTTTTTTGTGCAAATGTTAAGTACAGTAATTTTAATTGAGAAAGTCAACTCAAAGGACCAGTTATTTATATAGTCACCATTTCTTGAAATGAAATGGCTAGAATATTAAACTCAGATTTTCAAAATGATTTATTTGGAGGTAAAACTTTTGCAGTTTTTTTTTGTTTGTTTTGTTTTGTTCTTTTTTCTGAAAAAAAAAAAAAAAACATATATAAACATTTTAGACCTAAATATTGTACGACTTATACTGTTCCTAGCAATTTCTGACTTTACTTTTAGGTTTTTGTTAAACGACTGCATAACCACCCACTTTGTATGCCCTTCTAGTGCAAAGTTGAATTCCATTCAGCCTTTGCAATTGCCTTAATTCTTAATGTCATAGATTTAACAACTTGCATAAAACATTTCCCAGAAAATGTTAAGTGTTGGATTAGAAAGCCTCTAGACTTCTTGTGTTTTTTTGAAGATGTTTCACCTCTAGTCCAAAAGGCTTCTCTGGTTCGGATAATGGATTAATATTACCGTAGTATCCGTCTGATAAATTGTGGTCGTATATAGTGATTCCACAAATAGGGGCATTAAGATCTCATGAGTCACTGACCTAACCCTCCATCGTGATCAGGGCATTGTCACAAACTGTTTGTCAGCTGTCCATCTATGATTCAGATGTCCTAATCTGTCACGTCCCGAAGTGGTTTATTGGATTGAGATCATTGTGGAGGTCTAGAAATACAGTGAACTCATTTCATATTCATAAAACTTGTGAAATGGTGCCGTACTTGGGCATCAGATCAGAATACAATGTCACTGAGACCAGAAGGGGACATTTACAGCAACAATGTGTATGTGGCAAAGTAATCCTGCAAAATTACCACTGAGAACAACAGAATGTCATGGTAAGGGTGGTACCCTGTATGTTTTACTACTGTAGCCCGTCTACCTTAAGGTTTGTCACACTGATAATTCAGATATGGTATTTGGAAAGCCTTGGTTATAACAAGTACGTTTTTAATTGTTGATTTTCTATTTGTTTTTTAGTCACCAATTCAATTGTTTTGTTGCTGTCAAGCAGAGAGCTGGATTCAGTGAGCTGATGCAGTTAAATTGCTTACTTTGCTAATTGTGTAAAAATGCATTTGAAGAGATTCAGTTGATAAACTGGCCAGTAAATATATGTTTATAGATATGAATTAAGTCTGTTTGTCTTCTTATGTTACTTGAATATGTATGTGTTGTGATATATTATTGTTAAAAAACCAAAATAAAAGAACTGAAACTGAAAGACAATTTTGACTTGAATCCTAGATTGCCTTAGAATATACTGCACCTTTCTGTCACACAACTTTCAATTTCTCACATGATGTGCATTTCTTTATCTTTTAATGGGGTTCTCAGCATCTCCTCCTCTTTCTCTCTCTTTTTTTTACCACATGACATCTGCAAAATTGCAGACTGAGTCTCTAATTAATGTCTGTTTCAAGATGAAACAGAGACGTTTTGTTGACACTTGTTTCCAGAAGGTGCACTTTGCTGTCAATAACTGCTTGGCACTCCTTCTTTAATTGAGAAGCTGTTTCCCTGAAATGATTTCAGCAAAATTCATGAATTATTGAAAAGACTGAAAGGATAGGGGATTGGGGCGGGTCATCATGTTGGATCTTTGATGCTAACAAAAAAGAGAGGGGGAAAAAAAAAAACACTTTGCAGCACATTTTATCTAAATGCTTTCCTCATTTTGTACTATTGAGAAGTGTCAAAATACCGTTTTTAATTAATGGGACCAAATGTGAGACGAACGGAAAGCCTTTCTAAAGATTCTAATCAAATTTGTCTGCCACTGAGACCAAAGAAAAGATTCAATGTGCTGAGATGGGTTCTTTTGAAGGGTCATGGAGTTGTGTTTCATAAAATGCTTCTTCCTATTACATCTTTTTAATTTCATCCTGATGGTTCAGATGGAACACTTTTAACCTCTAGCTTCACCCCCTGAATAGGTCCTTCAACACAACTGTAAAAGAAGAATTCTACAGTTATAAAGTGCGATTTATCTTTACTCTGTCCTGTGGGCAACATTTCAGTTCACAGCCTGTGCACGCCATACAAAAGGTTCTGTGTTGGTGAGAATTCACTAACTCTTCAGACACTGAACAGCATACAGAATTAGGTTCACTCATCCATCCATTTCCTATATTTGTTTGTCCTTGCAGAGCTTTAAGGAGGTTCGTGTCTCCAGTGGTCATTGGACGAGAAAAGGGTTACACTCTACTGGTCGCCATACCAAGCTAAAGGAATGAATGCAAAAGGTAAGTTCAATTTACTTTGTTTTGTTCTTCATACAGCTTAAGCTCTTCTATGTTTTGCAGCAGTACAACCACAAATTTCAGTGCGTTTTAATCTGGACTCTGGACTTCTATGAGATAGACCAACACAAAGTAGTGAAAGAAAACAAGTAAACAGAGACCACCTGGTAGATGAATGAATGCAACTGTTCAGTGAAAGCTAAAAACATCTCAAGCTTTGAAAGTCTCATGAAACAACATTCACCCATCATCCAAAAATTAAACTTGGACGACAAAACAATCAAACTAAGACATGATCGTCTACCTAAACTTGGACAAGGTACTAACCAGAGAATAATGTATCACTTCAGAGCTCCATCACTCCTGTGGGCGAAAATCTTGACAAAGCTATTAGTAGGACACCTCATACCTCTTCTCTTTGTGTAAGAGCTGGAAGAAGAGCGCTAATAGTAAGAGAACGGTATAGGAAGTTCAGTTTGTGGCTTGTCATGTGATGCACGCAGAAAAGACATGACACTCTGGTCAGATGAGACCAACATTGACATTTTAGCCGACATTCATTTTCTATTGGCCTCCAGGATTACTTGATTATAAAGAACGTGATTTTAACACGACTGAATCCATGCATAGCTTGCACAATGCTTGCTCTACCTCTTAGAAGAATTTAAGTACAGAACAGACATACCGCTGATTTTATGGGCCTGTCTCATCAAAGCGAGAGAGTTGAATAAGAAAATGAGAGAGCACATTTAGCTTAAATTGAGAAACAAAGCTGATGTGTTGTCAGATGGACTCACGACCTGGTTAAGATCAGAATGGAGAGCAGGGAAAGAGACAAAGTAAGAGGGAGGGAAAGTGTGCAGTTCTGTCATGCATGGCACGGAGGCTTTCTTCTCCTGTTGTCAATTAAAACAGGCAGAACTGCACCTGCATGTGTATGCCAGGCCAGCTCTGCTGACCAGCGTTCACCTTGGCACCAGGCCTGCTGTCCAACCAGCTCTTAATGAGGGGCTTTGTGCGAATAAAAAAAAAATAGAGCCGGGTGTATACATGGCAATTAGGTTTAGGCAGTCCTGGAGAGAACAAGGAATCCTGCTTTTGTTTCTGGCTCGTTACGCCTCAGAGCCCTTATTTATTTGTGAATCATCCTTATGTAACATTGATAGGAAGACATTTCAGTATGGGGTTGTTGAATTTTCAAATGTGAGGGTTTAGAATGGACCATAATCCCCAATGAATGTATAATCTGTCGTAGTGAAAGGGTAAAAGAGGCCGTTTCTTTATTTATACATTTTCATCATGAATATTTCATGACGTATGTAGGTGAAAATGCATCACAGAAAAAGGACAGTATTTTTGTAAATATAACTTAACAGCCATTTTTTGCACAGGCTGAGGACTCAGACATTTCGATCCGTATTTATCTTCCACAATGTCTGATCAGAAATCCTCAAAATGTCTGAAACATGAGACTGGATAAGCAACGAAAGTGCAACACATCACCAAATCAGTAAGGAGATCATTGAGTATCCCATTAGCTAACAAAAAAAAAAGCCTTGAACCATCAGGACAAGCATAAACACATCTAGTGGTTTTAAATAGGTTCTAAAAGCAAGTAAATGGTCTGTGTCCTGAAATCCAAGATGAGAGTTGTTAGACACAGAATTTGATGAGACAAACATTTTCCCTTCATCAGTTATGAATTCTCCAGCACTTGGTTCTGTCCACTTTTTTTTCTTTTTTATCAATCAAATGGCAGCAATCTAATGAATGTATGCATAAAGATCTAATAAATATGAGTTACTGACATTCAAATCAAGCATCTGATTGAGGGATAAAAGGGGATTTAAGTGACTTTTAGTATGGTCATTACAGGCATGCCTAAAATGCAAAGCTACCGTCCAAGAGCATTCAGGTAGAAACTGTTGTACAGAATGTGATATACTGAAAGAAACAAAGAACAATATGCCATTTACATAAGGTAAGACAAAACGGATCAAACAAAGCCCGGTCAGGTGACGTCTAAAGTCTGTATATTAGAGAGCAGTTAGTGCATTCCCCGACACATTTTCACGTCGGTATGCAGCGTTTCTAGAGTTTTTGGAACCATTTTCTTCGGTTTATAAATCCACAGTGGTTTGCAATCTGTTCATTGAATCGGTAAACATTGCACAGCTTTAAAAATTGCACCTGTGCCCTGTATAATTATGGTATGAAATGCCTCCAAATTTTTATGGTATGGTGCTCCTACTTCACATTTAATCAAACAGCCGGTGCTCTGTTTTTTTCTCAAATGTTTTCTCTCAGGTTTTCTTAAGTGGAAACCAGGTACCTGTTGCCCATTATTTCCTAAATCTCACAACTAAAGGTATTTTTGTTCTTTTAACATTTATCCTGGAGAATTTGTCCTGTTGGTATTTTAAAGCCCTGTGCTTCAGGACTTAATAGTAAACTTTGCAGATGACTGTAAAGGAGTTGGAATGAGAGTCTATGATTCTCGATGAGAACAAATGTAAAATGCCCTCTTTGAGGTGAAGGTTGAGTCTGAACTTTAAAGAGTTCGATTGGACAGATTTTTGTTCAAGAGGAGTGATGGCAAGATGGAAAAGGAGATAAAAAGATTGATTGAGGCTTTGTCTGTGGTGTGTCTGTTTTTTTGTTGTTGTTGTTTTTGTTTTGTTTTTTAAAAGAGGACTGGTTCAAAGGCAAACATTTCCATTTACAAATCCATCTACAATCTGGCTCTCGCATATGGTCAAGTTATATGGTTCAAAGTACATTTTCCCATTTCTAAATATTACAACCATAAACCTTTGCATACTTATTATTGGGATTTCAGCCTCAGAGATAAGGTAATGAACTACCTAAATCCGTGGAAAGCCTGACGTAGATCTGCAGCTATTTCGCATCGAAAGAAGTCAGGGGAGGCAGTTCAGATATCTGATTAGTATGCATCCTGGACTCCTACTTTTGGAGGTTTCGCCAAGCTAATTCTACTTGGAAGACACCCTGATGCAGACTGAGGACTGGCCCTTTAAACACAGTTCACAGTTCTTCATGGACAGTAGCCTCCATGAAGACAGAGTGAGTGGTGCTCTCTTGAGTCATGTCTGGGTTTTCCTCCATCCTGGACATGTGGAAAATCGGTGGACCTGGACTTCCAAGTCCACCTAGACTTGGGAAAACAGAGGAAACTGTATGTCACTTGCCATTGCTCGTCAGTATACTTTAAATGTTAGAATAAGATGTGCCTTGGCAAGTTGCAGATGCAAAAACTTGCCTTATATCACAACGTGTGGGTAGATGCACTTTGGACAAATTTGATTATCTGGTTGACAAAATGTATGGTGGTGATATTTGCAGTGAATGACTTAACACATTTTTATTTGAATATATTTTAAAATGTTCCCACCATTGTTTCTTTTGCGAAACAAAAAAGTATATATTTGGATCTCATGGGCAAAACATTGGAGCTGATCAATTAATTTGTCTAAAATCAAGTTGGCTGTCAGAGTAAAACTTTAGAAACATTAGATAAATGGTTTAAGATTTCATCAACAGTGTTGCAAATGGGAATACACACGTGCACACACATTGTCACAGACTGCAGCAGTAAAGCGTAAATTTAGATTTAAGTGCAGCTTTTAACTTCAAATGGGACGCAACCCACAAAGAGTTTTTTTTTTTCTTTTTGTTCGTTTCCTCTGAGACTGCCTTGTAATTTCACAAATGTTTATGTAGTTACCAACATCAGTAAGTAATAAAACTGTCGGTAGAGGAGGGAACGCATGTTTAATGTGTCATAAAATGAGACATTCAAGTTGACACCTTTAAAAAAATTTCACCTTTTATTTGTCAAAGTTGACATTTAGATGTGATAATGGTTGACAGGTGCAATGATTGTGAGGAAAATATTAGACCTCCCACTGTCACGAGATTGCCTTTGAGCCACAAGGTTTCTTGCTCATTCGTTTCTGTAATCATTCTCAAACAAGAAAGTTTGGATACATTAGAAAGTAGCTCTCTAAGCCTCTGATGTTTCTCTGAAATGGGTCTAAGGAGAATGCACAGCGAGCTCTCTAACTAGAACAAACTATCACTTCACAGTGAGTAAAGGAGCAGAAATAAAGCTAAAGGAAAGTCTGACATGGAGCTCTGAAAGAAATGATTGCTCATCTATCACACGTACTTCCTGTGCCAGTAGTAATTGGTATCAGATCACAGAGACTGGAGATAATTAGTTGTCTCTTTTGATAAAATCTAAATGCGTTTTTCATAGGCTGTGTCGTGAATCGACATGGGGTGGTTGGACTATGATCCAGTTACAGGGGAAAAGTATTGAGCATGTTTTTTTTTGTTGTTTTTTTTTTTGCTGTAAATGTACTTCTTGTGAGACTATTGACATAAAATTCACACCACATTTTGGTAACAGCCCAAGAATCACGCATAT